GGGCAGCTTTGCTAAGTGTTGAAAAGCTTACTTGTTTCAATGGGAAAGAATGAAAAATCTGTGCATGTGAATATGGGCACTTGTAGTGGCCAATTGTGTAGTCAATGTAGAATTCTTTGTGCCCACAATTACCTGCCTCTGTGTGGGTTGAGTGGTGGTGTACAAAAGTGTGGCATGTGCACAAGGAATTCTTAAAGAACAAGCTGCTTTGAAAACTTAGGCTCTTCTCTGTTTTGCAACACAGTATGACAAATTCCTGGTGCTGCTCTGTAGCTTGAAAAACTAGGTAAGAAATACAATTGTTAGTAGGGAAGATTTCTGGAAAAAGCCTCTAGAAAGTTTCTGAGAAGTCACTGGAACGCCGAAAGTCATAGTGATCAGTTCTGGATGAAGAGCTTCTCTTGGCTCTCTTTAATTGTTTGGAAATGGGATCTAATGTGTTTTGAGGATGTCATTTGGTAGTTCCTTGTACCCTTAAGAGCGTAGTGGAAAAAAGGAAGAACTTTGACTTAGAGTATTGGAGTTCTTGCAGCAAGTCTCTGTCATTGTAGGCTGGAGAGGGATGTGCTCCATTTCTAACTGTTCCAGGGTGACAAATGATTCTGATCATTTTTACTGTAGATGTCTATAAATCTCCAGCTTCTGTTAAATGAGCTCCTCCTCCGCTGGAGGCAATCCTTCTCTCTAGCAATTTATGTAAATAAAAGAACAGGAGTGAAGTGAGCTAGAGAGTGGAACATAGATTTTAGAAGTTCTCTTTGTAAGTCTTAAGTACAAATTCCTCCCTTATGACTGAATCCTTGTTACCTTGTCTTATTTTAACCATTCTCAATTGGAAGGCCCTACTTTTGAAAGGATGCCCTGCTTGCTATATGGTCCTCTGGGTATGGTGTGCAACAGTAGGATTGCTTTTGAAAGGAGAAACTAATAATGGGGAAGGCAAGGGGCTCTTATTGAGTGTCTCTAGACTTTTCTTCTCCAAATGGGACCTTTTATGTAGTTTGGTTGTTTTACTGAAGAATTTACTTCTACAAGGTGCTAAGTTAGAAAAGCTGACCTAGTTCTATGGCTTCTTCCTTTGCTATTAATCCCAGGATATCAGTCTCAATAGTTAAATAACCACCAACAGTTTTAAAAGCTACAGTAAGAATCCAAACAAAATATATGTTTCTGTTTCTGTGTGACTTTAGAGAATCATGGAGTTGCAGATACACACATATGCACACTTTTAGTTTTATATACACATTATTTATCTGTTTCACTTTGCTAGAGGCAGCTCATAATCTTTGTAAAAAATGAAATAAAACCCAAATGAAACTTCCTCTCAAAACTAGGTATACTCTGTATGGATTGTGATACCCATATCAGACTTAGCCATACTTTTCCTTGTGTTGGGAAACTTGGTAATGTGTGGTGTGCTACATTTTTTGGGGGAAGCTATTTCACATAGGGGAAAACTCGAATTGGAATGGAATAGTTCAAGATTCATGGAATAAGCCCTACATCAGAGCTGGAAGTGAAACCTCTTAAAACAGCCAAACTCTCTCTTTGCAGATTGTCACAGCTCGTTTCTCTCTTTGTGATGTTTTTGCTTCCTATCTTTATAAAAAGTAAAATCTCATTAATGGACTTCAACACATTGAAGTCCAATTAGGTAAATGGTGAAATGGTGTGAACATTTCCCCTAGTTGCATGTGAACTTTCTGGTAATGGGCAAGAGAAGGGGAAAAAAAACTGAAAACCATCTCCCCCACCCCCAAGTTTCTCTTTATAGAAGCAGATTCTCTATGGGAGAGGGCTCTTGGGCTTTTTCTCTGGGATCAGCAATTCCTTGGGATGAAGCTGAATGCCTGAGAGATTAGCCGAGGGCTTTTCTGTGTACATGTCAGTGTTGCTACTGAAATGGGTTGATTGCTATTTTGACAAGCTGGCTTTCCTTTATAGTCAAAACAAAGCAAGGTTGAGCCCAGATCCTACTTTAGCTTTGCATTCTCAGTCTATGAATGGCCAGTCATTCAGCATCTGTGGCCCATCCAGCATCAACTCTATTGATATTGTCAAGAGGGAATGTGGTCTAATGGATAGTTGGAGAACAGATGTTTGAAGGTCCCATGGTGCTGGGAATCTGACCAATTTTTAACACGCTTCTGTTTAAAAAGGACATTAAATTTTACTAACGCTCATCTGAACATATGAAATTACTAATACTAATCCAAATGTGGAAGTGGAAGTCCTGAATTATGTGACAAAGCTTTCCACTGAAAAATCAGGTGCATCCGTGTAGATTCAGGCAAGATCATAGAAATCATGATTCAGTAAGTAAACTGTTAGAACATCCCTTTGTGTGAGATGCCCAAGTCTCAGATCATAAATATGCATCTAAGAGATTATGCTTTTCACCCTCAAACTCTTTGTTGTGGCCTTGAGAGCCTGTTCAAAAAGTTAATGTTACAAAGGCTTGATGATGCAGTGCCAAATGTTGATGGAACACAATAGATTAAGCTGTTGTGCTTCTACCTATCCTTTTGCAAAGATCCCCTTGTCTTTTCCCAATGTAGTACTCCACAGTGGAGAAACCCCCATAACCTTCCACTGCTTTTCCAAGTGTGCTTTTCTTACTCTTGCAGTGTCAGAGAGTTCCTTCTCTCCTAAACCCTCTTGATTCCCTTTTTTAACAATCCTAATTGTGGATGCCTAGCACAGCAATCGCTTCAGTTTCAGAGGGTAGAATGAACACTTGGGTCTATTCTTCACCCCACGTCTTCAGGCACACACAGAGAACAGTAGCTAAAGGAAAAGGACTCTTCAACTTACACTAGGAAGTGGAGGAGGAGGGAATTCCAATTTTGGGTTAGGAAGAATCAAGCTTTGGATAATTAAACTGATTTTTTTAAAAAACAAACTTATATAGCCGTTCAAATCATACATCGTGATTCCGGGCAGCATAGAGCATTAAATTACGATTATGCTAGCTACAGTACATGGTTCAAAATTGATGCTTTATTAATTGTTTTCTTCAGGATTACTTTTACAAAACCTAGCATGGTAGCACTTTGCAGGAGAATATTTAAAAAACTGAGTATTCTGGTATGTGCCTTTTACAAGTATTTAAGGGCATGTTTTGACCTATCTTGGAAGGAAGGGCAAGCGTACTTCCTACTTTTGTGAAGAGCAAAAACAAAAAACAAACAAACAAAAAACAAAGCTATGCTCTTGAGTGTTTGGAATTGCAGTTCAGGGAATGAGTAATGTGGCTTCCTCCACCCCTTCACCCTTCATTCTGCCTAAAGACTAGTTCTGTGGTTTTGAGGTATGTGCTAAATCTAGGATAAGCCCAAGGCTGCCTTTTGTTATAAGAATGAGAATCATTTGCCTGGGAGATGGGAAAATCGTGAAGATCTTAAAAAGCAATCTACTCTGCTTGCCAGACATGGTTGAGTAGAAGGAACACTGGCACTTCCACATAATGGTTAAATTTTGAAAAAGGAACTGAGCACAAGCAAGCAAACATTGATGATATATAACAGAATAACAGAGTTGGAAGGGACTTTGGAGGTCTTCTAGTTCAAACCCCTGCTCAAACAGGAGACCCTATACCATACCATTTCAGACAAATGGCTGTCCAATCTCTTCTTAATAATTTCCAGTGATGGAGTACCTGCAGCTTCTAGAGGAAAGCAGGTCCTCTGGTTAATTGGATATCTTCAAGAGTATTTTAATACATGCAGACTAATATGACTTTTGTCATATTAAGGGATGTACTTTGTGATTTCCTAAATGTTTTTTTTTTTAAATTTACTATAAAATGTCACAAATCTTTATGTAAATAAGGCTCTTGGTCAATTAGGTTGCTCCCTCCAAACATCTCTTTAAGGCTCATGCAAGAATCTTTGAGCATGCATGTAGAGAAAAATGGATTAATAAAGCCCATGGTCAGGTGCTTTATGAAGCTAACACATCATCTTCCCATGCCTGCATGTGTGAAAGATTGATGGTGGCGGGAAGCAAAGTAATGAATAACGGCACATTTGCTCATGGAGATGTGGTGTGTGTGTGTGTGTGTGTGTGTGTGTGTGTGTGTGTGTGTGTGTGTACAAATTCAGATATATATTCCTTAAAACCAGGAAGGAACAGGAAGAATACTGATTCCTAAAAGATTTTATAATTATTTATTTCTTCATGGTCACACCACTTCATGCAAAATTTGTAAGAACAATGTGGAAATTGAGTTTTTTCAAGCAACCATGTGCCTTATTCTATTTCTTAACCCATGACATAAAGCTATTTATTTTATTTTTCTTGAACGACAATCTGGCTTTTCAGTTAAATGTAATTAAGGATTTATGGACTTGTTTCAGTTATTGCATCATACAAATATGCATGGAAATTTTCCAGTATTCTTTTGTGAGAAATCAATGTTGTTGCCTTTATCCGTTTTCAAACCATGAGAAAACATAACTGACATTGATATCATAGTAATGCAATGCAGTGGAGTTTAATATAAACAGCAAACATTCAGAACAACGATACAGATGCACAGAACAGGTTAGAAATGGGCTAAAACAAGTTAAGAATAGATCTAATCCCAGTTTTTTTTTAAGTTTAAAAAGAAAAAAAGAAATTCCAGACCTTCATTTTATGTCTCTTGTTTTTTCTTAATTCAAAAGATGTAAAATTAGTCCCTTGGTAACAGGATTCCAAATTTAACACTGAGGTTTTTGCTGCTATTGGGAAAACGAAAGAACATTAAGCAAGTCCTCAGAACAATTTAGCTGCTTCTTTCTATAGTGAATTTACAAAACAGTCATGGGAACTTTAATGAGAAGAATGCAGAATGATGAACAAATACTATGCAATGCTTCTCTGAGACAGCTGAATATTTCAGCTATCTGAACCACCTCCATTCCCGAGATGTTTGTAATTGAGATTTTATTGTGCTGTTGTATTTTGAGTGGCACAACTGTTCGTCTAACCATGCTTGTTTTTGCATTTTTTCCTAGGGCCATGTAGAATGCCAGCATCCATAATGTCCTGAATCTGGAAACAAGTGGAAAAAAAGAAGTTCATCCACAGGAATTCACTCTCTCCCGCCCTCCAGTTTTTGGTTTGGTTCTTGTTTATTTCATAGTTAGATTAATGCATTGCTGGATGTGACTCTTCCACCATGTGGCTTCTGAGGCTAAAGCACCATTTGTCAATTAATATTTGGACCCTGCTGCTTCTGGGTAGTTCTTGGTTGCCATTGGCAAAAAGCACTACCAAATCTTCCTCCCCTTTTATGACTTTCCAAGTCACAGACTGGAGTTTGACACACTTGGTGGTCCACAACAAAACTGGGGAAGTATATGTGGGTGCTGTCAACCGGATCTATAAGCTTGCAAACAATCTGACTGAAATGCGCACACATGTGACGGGTCCAGTAGATGACAATGAGAAGTGTTACCCACCACCTAGTGTGCAGTCTTGCCCACATGGGCTAGTCAGTACCAACAATGTCAATAAATTGCTGCTGGTGGATTACTCTGGGAATCGTCTGATAGCCTGCGGCAGTGCTTCGCAAGGTATCTGCCAGTTCCTACGCTTGGATGATCTCTTCAAGTTGGGTGAGCCACACCACCGCAAGGAACACTACCTTTCTAGTGTCAATGAGTCAGGAACAATGTCTGGTGTTATAATTGAAGTGCAGAATGGACAAAACAAGCTTTTCATTGGAACTCCCATTGATGGAAAGTCTGAGTATTTCCCTACTCTGTCCAGCCGTAAACTGATGGACAGTGAAGAGAATGCAGAGATGTTTGGCTTTGTTTATCAAGATGAATTTGTCTCCTCTCAGCTCAAAATTCCATCAGATACACTCTCCAAGTTTCCCACATTTGATATCTATTATATCTATAGTTTCAGTAGTGAGCAGTTTGTCTATTACCTAACACTGCAGCTGGACACCCAACTTACCTCACCAGACTCTACAGGAGAGCAGTTTTTCACCTCAAAAGTTGTCCGGCTATGCGTGGATGACCCCAAGTTCTACTCCTATGTGGAATTTCCCATTGGTTGTATTCGAGATGGCATTGAGTATCGCTTAATTCAGGACGCTTACCTCAGTAAGCCTGGAAGGGCCTTGGCCAAGCAACTGGGCATTTCAGAGCAGGAGGACATTCTCTTCACAATCTTTTCTCAGGGGCAGAAGAATAGAGTCAAACCACCAAAAGAATCTGTCCTCTGTCTTTTCACATTGAAGAAGATCAAAGACAAGATCAAGGAACGTATCCAGTCTTGCTACCGTGGAGAAGGGAAGCTTTCTCTGCCCTGGCTTTTGAATAAAGAATTAGGCTGCATAAATTCAGTAAGTTCTGTTTTTTTCCCTCCTCTCTTTCTCCTGTGCTCTCCCCTGGTTATAAAAACCCTTAGGATTCCGAATTGTTATTATACTTGATTCTCAGCCTGTCTCCTACCTAGAGATATAAGGGATGGTTCATTTTAACCATCTTGGGGTAAGTAATTATTTAATTAATATTGTTTGTGGAGATTGGGCTTATTAATGATACCAAGTGCCTGTGAATTGGATTGGAATTTTCTGGATTTTGTAGATAGGGTTATGTGTTGTTTTTTTTCTTCCCACATTTGTGTTAGGCTTAGGTATTTCTTATTCAAGTTGGGAAGAGCTATGCAGTTCTTGCTTTGGATTATTTCTGAAGCTTTCAAAAATGGCCTTACAGGCCAAAAGTGATTTCCCAATCCATTATTTAAAGTACGACCATGTTGAGGTAGCTGATTAAAGTTTTTAGGTTTGTTTATATAGAAAGGAAAAGGCAGATATTAGGAATAAATATCAGATACTAAATATTCTTACAGTAAAAAGGCATTTAAAATGACTCTTCCTATTATTCAGATAAATCTAGTCAAGGATCTATATTAATTTTGATGCATATTTAAGAGTTTCTTTTTATGTTTTTATGTATTTTTTTTCAGAAGCATAGATGGAAAAGCAGCATTTAAGCAACTTCCCAGTTTGGGCATTTTCTACTTTTATAAAGATTACTTCCCAAAATTTTCAAGACAGTGATGCTCAAATTTTGGGAAAATTTCTGTACATGCATCTGGAAGGCACTAAAGCTGGGAAATACTGGATGAGAGGCACAGGGACAGGATTAAGTCTGACAAACATGTCAGGCTGAGTTTCTTTAGCATTTACTTTTTATTATTACTTCCATGGCAAGTTCTGACAGGTGAAGCTGGTGATTGCATACCCACCTTATCATGAGAACAGTCTTCCTGGCAGTCCAGATCCTTAGTTGGGTGGAAAATATGTTGGGCAAGTATTCTTCAAGTCACTTGAATGTGCTATCTACACTGCATCCAAACCTCATAGGATGTGAGAGGGAATATTAGGCAGCAATTTGGTTTAGACATATGGGAATACAAAGCAACTGTATAGTCAACAATCTTTCTTACTGGCAGGAAAGGACTTTCCCAGGTCAGAGGTGTGTATCAAGCACAACTGGAGTGTCAAGTTTTGAGGCCAATTAGAAATAAACTGTTGCCCTGTGGGGAAGGAGATAAGTCAAAGTAAAAGACTTTCTCAACAAAGGGAAAGTTGCCTGGCTCTGTCCTAAGGGAGGTATTTGCTATAGCTGTTGCTAAGACAAACACAAGAGCTTTCTTGGCCTATTCCATTGTGTAAAGCCTGCAGTGAGGCCGGGTGAGGAACCTGCTTTGTTTTACTGAGTTGTATGGCTGGGTTCCTTTTTTAGATTGCATATAATAGGGTGGGCATTTCAGATAGTCATAATCAGGACAGAAATGTAACATAAAAACTATGTAAAAATACAATATAAAAAGACCTTTCAGAAGAGTGGATTGATATGGGCAATTTCACACAGACAAATACCTCAGACAGATCCCAGGTTGAAGAAAATTGCCCTAACTCTCAACTGAATTGGAGAGTGATAGTTGCAGTGATTGAAACATGAGGGATTGGATCTCAAATTCCATGGACTCGATCAATCCTCGGATCAAGACTGCCTTTAAATTTTGGACCAACCCATAAAAGAACAGTTTAAGATTACCACCTGTGTGATTTGAAATAAAAATATTACAATTAATCTATAAAATCAGTTAAAACTTGCCCTCAGTTTAGATTCCTATTATTTCTAGAAAGAAACTAGATGCATAGGATATGGAATGCCTTTTTATTTTCTTAAATTATTGAATAATAGACTTGGAAAAAATTGCAGTTACCAATTCAAGAAATGTACAATGTGTAGGTTCCAAGTGGTTGAATACTCAGGTTCTACTTTTAAAGTTTTTGTGGGACTTTTTGTATCAGATAGAGAAAAAGCAAATTTTGACAAATGTATTTGATGATTGCTAAAAATTTTAAAGGGAAACTTTTTATTTCCTCCTTTTTTGTGGGGAATGGACATTTTATTGTAGTCTTAAACTATGATAAAACTAATAAGTTAATAAATAATCAGCGAATAAACTAATATCAAAAATAAGTGTTCTTTATATATTTGGAAGAAGTTGGAAGTCATTTGTACATTTGTTTTTTCCTTTCCTTTCCTTTATATTTTTACATACTTTGATCTCCATTTCTTTTTACTCTTTATTATTTCTTCTGATTGTTAGTTTTTGTTGTTTTTTTATATTTATGCTTTGTAAAACATAATAAAATTATTTAAAATGCTTTAAAAAAACAACAAAGTTGAGTCTAGCATTTTTTGAAGCAGTTTATTCACTGTGGAACAGTTTGTACTGCCAGGATGATGCCCTTAAAATTTAATCTAATCTATTTTCTTATGATTTAAACATAAAGGGCATTGGCAAAAGCTATTCCAAGCATCATTAGAAATAATGAACCTCAGGATTATTTAGAAACGTCTCTTCTCTTCCCAGAGTGGCTTGTGTCATACAAGTCAGGAACCATATGGAAAAGGAAGCTAACATAAAACAAAAGGCAAATAAAACGTGGACAAATAAAATGTCTGCCATTAAAGTTTACTAAAATTAGACATTTGGTACTGGTGGACTATCTATTTATTAAATTCATATGCCATTCGTCTCCCTGATAGGATGACTATCTTTGCTACACTATTAAATAGTAGTACTAAGTAGTAATGTTTGGCCTCCAAATGTTGAATTGCTATCATTGTCTTAGCAAAATGGGAATGATAGATAGGAAGGAGAATCCACAACTTACTGAAAGGACACAAAATTTCCCCTATATGTTTAGGACAAGAAATCTGATTTGTTCCAAATGTTTGGGACCATACCAGCCTTAATCAGATTCAGTGGGACAGAATTATGGGCACTATATTCAAAATGTGGGGGAAGTGCCATGTTGCCTAGATTTACATAAGGACTCAAGGAGTGTTATTTCCATGGCTTTAGGAAGCATTAGAAGCTGTATGTGTTTGCTAGCCTGGAAATAAATACTAGAATATAGTTTGCTGGATGCTGTCTCCATAAGAAACGGGAGAGATTAAAGCTGGAATGCTATTATAAACTATAAAGTATTATGTTGTTGGTATTAGCAGTTGAGATGGGAATGCAATGTATAAACACTTGCACTGTAGTTCTTTACTTTCATAACTTCAATAATCTTTCTGAATAGGATAATCTAAAAATATTTCCGATTTGGTTGACTTGCCTGGTTTTAGTGTATTCTTAACAGCAGTGAAAGGGAAACCTTACACAACCATCTGAAAATTAGATGAGTAATGGATAGAGATAATAGTCCTCATGCGCAATGAAGAATTTCCCATGTAAAACTATGTTACCAACACATGACATGAAAATACCACTATGACAAAACACAGGTTCAGAAATAGCTTTCAGGAGCTTAAAAGATTCTTATTCTAGTAGTTCACTAAATTACCATCTTTGTTTTGAAAAAGCGAAACATATTTATAATAGCAGTAACATTTTAACCATCATCTTCAAAACATCCGAATAGAATAGGCAGTCTATGGTGCTCTGTTACATTTAATTCTCACAAGAAATCTGTGCACTTTCACGGGTTAAAGAGTGGGGGCATTGGTACTTACCTGATATGCCTGTTCTCGGTGAGCTGCGACGAGCATCCAGAGTGGGAGGTGCTTAGTCTCTGCTCGGATAGGCTGGGCTTAATTGAATAGGATGCTTTTACTCCACCCTGGCTCCTCCCTAGCGTCCCCCAGTTTTGGCAAAGACGAGGTGATGCAACCCCCATCCTCTATATTGGTCTGTTTGTGGTTGTTTTTTTTTTGAAACTTATATCCAGATTAGTCGTTGGCCGGAACAGGACCTCACCAGACGGATATTGGGTGGGGCTGGATGCTCGTCGCAGCTCACCGAGAACAGGCGTATCAGGTAAGTACCAACGCCCCTTCTCCATTGAGCTGCTCCGAGCATCCAGAGAGTGGGACATACCAAAGCTTGGCTTGTCCTACAGGAGGGTCTCTGTCTGGGTTGGAGCCCCCCCCACTGTCCGAGTGGACTTGTTGTAACACCCTCCTACCAAAAGAGGCTTCAGCAGAAGCAAATACATCAATTTTGTAATGCCTAATGAAAGGCAATGGGGAGACCCATGTTACCACTCTACATATTTCTGCAATTGGAGCTTGCGTGGCCCAGGCCACTGAAGTTGCCATGCTCCTTGTTGAGTGGGCCGTGATGCCCCTAGGCACAGGCAGTGATTGAGACTTGTATGCCTTGGCTATCGTGGCCTTCAGCCACCTGCCTATAGTCGAAGAGGAAACTTTCTGCCCCTGGGAGGTTGGCTGAAAGGATACGAAAAGAGCTTCAGTCTTTCTGAAAGGAGCCGTTCTATGTAAGTAAGTATGGAGAGCTCTGAGGACATCCAGTCGGTGCCATTGATGCTCTAGGCCCTGAGAAGGTCTGGGTCAAAAGTTAGGGAGAATTAGTTCTTGTGATCTGTGGAAGGCAGAATTGACTAAGTGTGAATGTGGGGTCTGGTCGAAGCACCACTCTGTCAGCATGGAATATACAGAGGTCCTTTCGGGCCGATAGGGCTGCAATTTCTGATATATGACATGCTGATATAGCCACGAGGAAAACATCCTTGTATGTGAGAAAATGGAGGCTAACAGTTTTCAGGGGTTCAAATGGACTCTTTGTGAGTGCTATGAGTACCTTGTTAAGGTCTCAGGTCGGGTAACGATGCACCACTGGCAGACACAAATTTGTGGCACCCCTAAGAAAACTCTTTATCCGTGGGTGATCGGAGATGGATGGTAGACCTTCCCAAGTCACCACTGAGGCAATGGCTGCCACTTGTCTTCTTAAAGTGTTTGGAGAGAGGCCCCTGTCGAGACCATCTTGGAGAAACTCTAAAACTTGTGC